TGATCCGATAAACACCGGCTCCCGACGGACTGCGGTTTTCACACACCGCCCCGCTGCCTTGTGGGTCAGGTTTTGGCTAGCCAAAGGCTCCCGTTGTGAATTCTTCAAGAAAATTCGCCTACCTTGGCCTAGGCAACCTAGCAGTATTCAGCCCACAAGCCAATCATGGAACTTTTGATTTTTTTTATAAAGATCATTGTGCCATGATTTGCCTGACGCACAGTCTGTCCTCAGACAAGTGTGAAATATAATACAATATACAGAACCGGGGATGGATAACAATTTGCGTTCATCTCGATTTCGATCGACTTTTGTGGGGAGATGTCAGTCGTGATATCCATGAAACTGGCTAATTTCATCGAGGGATTCGAACACAAGTATTATAATGCGTGCCAATGACATTAACACAACTGGATCATCGTCAATGATTACAATGGTCGATGAAGACTGCTTAAGTTATGCACGTGCTCAGATAAGTGAAACTAGTTTACCGAATGTAACTCACGCGCAACAAAAACATTATCTTCCTCCCCCCAACTCCATGCAAGGCCTCTGTACCAAATACGTAACACAGCACTGATTTGACATCTAAAGAAACTGGCAAACAAGAACTATGAGAGGATGTGGTGGAAACTCACCGTCTGTTGGAGGCACTGTTGTTCTTACTACGCCGGCTGTCCCCACTGGAATAAGTCAGCCGAGCTTCGAGCCAAGGCGGAACAGATTGTTTCGATTCACGCAATAATTCCACGAGATCTCGAACCACGTTCTGATTACGCTCGGAAAAAAATGAAGTGGCTGATCCAGGTTGACCCATTCGCCCAGTGCGACCGATTCGATGCACATACTCCTCAATATCAGAAGGTAGATCAAAATTGATCACATGCTTTATGGAAAAATGAACGAAATAAAAGAAAGTTGATAACTGATCGATGATTTTGATATTTCGCACCGACAAAAATAAAGCTAGATGTCTTTCAATTCACAGACAATTGCGGAGCAATACTACCGGTAATTTATGTGATATAAAGATGTCCGTCCATATGTCACCTTTACAAATAAATTTAACATATAGAACCGAAATCGAACGGCTTTTTGTAGATGGAGGCGAAGCCTGAACAACGAAAATAGCATGAGAGTATTTAAAAAAATGCGACCAGTTGAGGCAAAAATTATCATGCTGTCACAAGAGGAAGGACGCAGGAGATATGAGCAGCGTGACGACAAGAGACTACAGCGAACTGATGAGCTAATTGTGCGTAAAGTATCGTTCGGTAGACAATATGGTATCCGATAACTAAAGGATGAAAAGAAACAAGCCATACAAATTAATTCAGGCCCACCTTCACATTCGGTATATCCAGTCCCCGGGCAGCAACCGCAGTAGCAATCAAAATCGGTGTATGTCCTTCACGGAATGAAGATAATGCCCGTTCTCGATCTGACTGTGGTCTATCACCATGGATTGAAGCCACGGGGAAGTTCAACTGACTAAGATAGTGAGCCAGAGCGTCTGCACCTCGTTTGGTTTCCACGAACACCAAAACAAGACCTTCTGGGTCCGCTACAAAATGTATAGATGAAATAGAATTAGGCGGTGCACTTCGAAAACAGCTCGAGGACTGCTGATCTATCGCTATCTAACGGAGACGCATGCGAAACAGTGTTGTTTAACAACCAACTCAATATAATACAATATTTTAGAGCCATCTTCAACACCAGCGATCGGCCGAATGGGTAAGCAAATTCAAAAATTAGCATTTGCCTAGGGGGTTTCAACCATGAAAACAAATGACGGACCCAATTTGAAATAACAAAACCAGAGCTGACAGCGCATCTGCTGATATAAACAAACGACTCATTACCCAATACTCACAACATAATCACACAACTGTATTTACGTGGTACATATCAACTACTGCACATAAAGCGAATAACAGTATGACGAAATACCCCATGGTAGAGAACATACTTAAGAGATAGCACATTGATCTTGCACTTCAGCAGAAAGGTTGTGAGTGGCTGCCAGAACAGTTTACGGTTTCAGGGTGAAGTTTAGAAGTTAAAGGCAAAACATTTGGTGGCTGCAATTTGATAAGGATAACTGACTGCTTATTTATCAGATGGACGGGGAGGGGGGATCGCAAGAAGAGGCAAGCTCAGGATGAAAATATTATCAGTGATCGCCGGCTTGCGAGCAAGCATGCCACCTACATAAAAACAATGACAGATGGGACGATAGTGGGAGCCGTACGGAAAGTAAAAAGGAGGGATATAGAAAAGAGGAGAACAAAGTCCAAAAAAGTAACTAACGAAGAGATAGCGATGCGACAGCCTCCGATGGGTTAGCGACTGGATCGAACGATGCATAGCGGTTCTCCATCAGATAAATGGTCTTCGATTGCACACGCATCATCATCGTGAGGCGAACTTAACTGATCACCACCAAACTCGAAATACATACAAAGTTGGTGGTAAAATTTAAGTTGGACCTACTTTGAGGAGGATGAAGGCGAACCTCTACGGCAAACACGGAGTACACAATCTAATTGTGCATACATACCGTTTTAAGCATTCTGACCTGATAAGAGACGACAACAGGAATGCCACTGCTGTCGGTTCGCTGCCGTATCCTTCAATATCTCCAACTAAACAGTTGTAGTAGATGGGAAATTGAAGATGGAGGAGTCAACGTTGTTAAGGGAATGATGAATAACAGAAAAGCATTAGTTGAAACAAAAAAGTCGGAGCTTCAACGTAATCGATTGAAATGTATGATTGGAAAAATCAAGATTTTGTATTCTGGCAGCAGTAACTGATTGACCGTAAAGGTGCAGGCACCAGTTTTGGGTAGGAAATAGGAATGGAAAGTGTATTCAGGGAGTTGAATGTGGGTAGTATCTGCCGAGTAGAAGATTTGGGTTTCGGTCAAAAGTAGAGCGAGAAGATTGGATAAATTACAGTACATAACCAATGTTGTAGTTCAGTTCGCGAATCTCGAAGAGTTCGTGGTTGCTTTCAAGTATAGTGAGAAAGAGCGTGTGCGATGTTATACTGTAATGATTTATGATGTTAGGAGAAATCTGGGTACATGTGGACTTCTACCGGTAGGCAGTTTCACTATGACGTAAGAGTATGCCACAAGCACAAGAATTATCACTTACTCTAGTGATTCAAGTAGCTCAATCAGGTGAGAAAGAATTTAGAACATCCGTGAAACTCAATCCCTATGTGATTCTCCAGTAATACTCCTAGGTATTAGTTTGAGGTATTCCTTAGGTTGTCACTTTTACAGGCTGACTAGCTACTGTATGCAACAACGGCCGTGGTCGAAAGGAGCCAGTTAACGGTTAGTAGGCTGGTATGTTGAATTCTTTCCAACACTTTTTTCCGTTCTTCATAGCCTTTCATTTACTGCAGCCCTTGGCGATAAAATGATGTTGATGACATGAACCGTAGCAGACAGATTACGTGGATGCCGTTTCAGAAGTATTTCACTTGAATGTTGGTTGTTTCTGAATTTAGTGTAACTAGAAAATGTCTAGGATGAGAAAACCACTTGGTCTGTTGTGTTCTCGCTAAGGCCTATGCCGATTATGGCAACTCTGATCAAAGGTTTAAATAAGGACACAGCAGCAACGAGGAAATTAGTACCACAATTAGTAACCTACCTTTCTCTTGAAGTAAGCGAACCAACACATCGGGTTTATCTTTGTCTAAAACGTTTAGAACTTCTTGCACAATATTTTCGTTTGTACTTCCAACACGGCCAACTGCGAGAAAAATGTAGGAGTGCAAAAAGTCCCGAGCAAGAGTCTAAATACAAGAGTGATAATGAGTCGCCAACTAACTTGAATTTCTTTGGGAAATGTTGCCGAAAACATCAAGGTTTGTCGCTGTCCAGCAGGGGGCATTCGATGCTGTTCTACAATACGTCTTATTTGAGGTTCAAACCCCATATCCAACATCCGATCAGCCTCATCAAGGACAAGATACCTGCAGGTAAATAATGAGTTAAGATATAAAGGAGAGAGCATACTTGACATGCTCCAAGCTGACTTTACCCCGACTAATCATATCAACTAATCGGCCTGGGGTAGCAGCCAAAATGTTGCAACCGTGCGATAGCTCACGCACTTGGGCCATGATGGAAGCACCACCATACACAACACACGGACGCACCTCTGATCGATATGAAAATTTACGTGCCTCGTCGTAGATCTGGCACGATAACTCCCGAGTAGGTGCAAGCACTAAAGCAGTCGGTGAAGCCTCACCAGTGACGGACTGAAATTGAATATTGGAAGAAAATGGCCAAAAAGCGAGTATACCTGTGGAGGTTGTTCATCATCATGACCTGTTTTCAGCAACCGGTTTAGAATCGGCAACAGGAAGGCCGCCGTTTTACCAGATCCGGTTTGAGCGCATGCCATCAAATCACGCTTGGCTGCGATAATAGGCAAGGCGTATTTCTGTGCCGGAGTTGGATGGATGTACTGAGCACGTTCTATATTGTCTTTTATGATCTGATGTAACTCAACTTCAGTAAAAGATGTAATGGGCTTGACAGGAGTCCAATTCGGTCCTGATTGAGTCACCGGGATGCTATCGTAAAGCTGGAAATTGAGACCACGTTTTGGCTTTCCAAACAACTCTTGTTCCAATTTTTTCGATGTCTGTTGGGGCCAAGTTTGCTGTTCATTGTAGGACTTTCGACAAGATTTGTAACTAAAATTACTATATGAAATGAAGTGATTAGTCTTAACGAGATAGATACTTTTGCTTTGCAAACCCATTTCCCTGAATAGGAGGCGGTGTACCGAACAGACCAACATTTTCCAGTTTATTCACCAGCCCCCAGTGATTGACCACAGAATATCCGTTCACAGCATTTACTCCGGGATCTGCGCTAGAGTAGCGTCCAAAACGGGGACCACTGCGCTTGGGTCCAGCAGTTGGAAGCGATCCAAAATTTTTCAGCAACTGTGGATTGTTGGCATAGAAATATGATGGATCCGCAAGTTGTTGTGCTGTGTCACCCAAACTGAGGTAGCCAAACTGTAAAGGAAAGATCGTGGTGGTAAAACCCACGGAAAGAAATTAGATAACCCCATCTAGTAATGCCACTTTGTTCGACCTCGACAATGATCATGTGCAAAAGGAAATAAAATCTGTCACAACAGGTTTAACATTTAAACATCTTGCGTAAATTAGGTGAGGCAAACGAATACTACAACGTTCGTTTCACTGCGTATGTTGCCAACATGTTCTCATTTTCAATTTGTTTCGCACGCGACTTTTTTCCGAAACATGCACGTTCATTTCACACTTTAACCAGAGATCGATTGAACCAGTAACATCAGAGTTAACACTGCAACATGTGAGGGTGTCTGTGTTGTAAGGGCTTTTTGCTTCCCGNAAAAAGAGGGTTTTCACCAGAAGCTTTTGTCTAGAAAGTGACTTGCAGGACAGGACGGAGCTCACAATCAAGTCTACTATATGCACACCAAAGAACCACTACCTTCACAAAATAACCTAGAGCTTTTTAAACTGTGTAATATTCACCATCGCCAAAACCGCTTATCTACTTTCTTAGTAACCCAGTTTCACCGTTGGTATGTTCCTTTCGCCCCTCCGTCGTTGACCATGCATGCGACTTATTTCAGGCAATCACTAGTCCATCGCTGGAATGTTTATTCACCTATTTTGTCGCTGCCGTTATGGTGTGTTTGACGAAACTCACGTCTACG